GCAGGGTCTCACTCCATTATCCATTCTGGATTGCAGTGGCACAATCATGGCTCACTGCAGCCTCAACCTCCCCAGACTCAAGTGATCCTCCCACAGCAGGCTCCTGAGTAGCTGGTACTATAGGCACATGCCACCACACCCAGCTAATTTTTTGTACTTGTTGTAGACATGGGGTTTTGCTGTGTTGCCCAGGCTGCTCTTGAGCTCCTGGGCTCAAGTGATGCACCTACCTAGCCTCCAAAGTGTTGAGATTACAGACGTGAGCCACCGCACCCAACCATTGCTTTAAAACTTACTGCTGATCATGTACTCAGGAAAACACCAGAAGGATTATTAGTAAAAGCAAAAGTGTATTTTGATAGGTCAAAATTAAAGTACAAAATCACTTAACATTCATAAGGCCAACTAAAATATTAAGTTCTTTGAAATCTAAGAAAGGAAGCTGATCCAAGAACTGAAATTCTTTGAGTGCCCATTGTCTTCTCCTAATTTCTTATTTTTATCTCCCATAGGCCAGCAGGAAAAAGAGCCAGCAATGGCAGTAAGATAACATTTGGAGACTTAGTTACCTGTAACTGTTCAGTGGCAATATGAATAAGAGTTTTAGGTTACGCGATGTGTAATACCTAATCATATGTCTTAGGAATTAAAATGTTCACTTAATTTGGGACTAATACTTTACAGATGCTAAGTAAACATCCTATGAATAATAAAAACACTAATAGCAGTAGTAATTTGCTTGGTACTAAGTACTCTATACACACTATCTCATGTTATTCCTCATTACCCTCATGTCCACAGGGTGGACATTATTATACTTTTTTTTTTTTTAAATAGATGAGCTTTAGAGATCTTAAGTAACTTTCCCCATATTCCAGATCTACTGGCTTAGCAAGAATTCAAGAATCCATGATCATCTTACTATACTACATTTCCCATTACCATTTTGAAGGGAAAATTGTCATGCAGTATTCAGTCTGCGATTACTTTACCAACAAATCAAAGGGTGAACAGATAATAAATATATAGAGTATCTTATGTAGAGAAAATCCTATATTCAGTAAATATGAAACATTATTTCAACTGGAAAAGCAATTTATATTAATACATCAAAATACAAAGCTCTGCATTCAAAAGGCTAAGACTTTAATTTCTAATTCAGTATCAATAATTAGGTTACAACTTGAAATATCTTTTATAAATATTCTGTGTGTGTGTTGAAAAGAGTATGTATTTTGCAACTGTTACGTGCTTTGTTACATGTCTATTGCTTTGTTACATATATGTCTATTACATAAGACACATATGTAACAGACATTATTTGTATGGTTAAATCTTACATTTTTAAAATCTGCCTGATCAAAACTGACACAGGTATTAAAATTCTTCCGTTATCACAGAATCTTTTTCTGCTTTGTATTTTTAAGCTACGTTACTAGATAACGTACATACAGATTTAAAATTACGTTTTGTTGACAAACCTTTTCATTATAATAACCCTTTTTTTCTCCAGTAATGTCTTAGCTTACGATGTATTTTTTTCTAATCTTAATATAGCTATATTAGCATTCTTTTATGTGCTCTTTTTCTTATGTTACTTTTCATGATTCTACTTTCAAGGTTCATGTTTTCTCAATTTAAAACAGTTCTCATGTAAATAACATATAGTGGGATTTTGTTTTTATAGTCACTCTGACAACTTTTACCTTTCATTAGGACCATAGACTCCATTTTTTTTTTTTTTTTTTTTTTTGAGAGGGAGTCTTGCTCTGTCACCTGGGCTGGAGTGCAGTGGCTGGATCTTAGCTCACTGCAAGCTCCGCCTCCTGGGTTTACGCCATTCTCCTGCCTCAGCCTCCTGAGTAGCTGGGACTACAGGCGCCCGCCACCTCGCCCGGCTAGTTTTTTTTTTTTTGTATTTTTTAGTAGAGACGGGGTTTCACCATGTTAGCCAGGATGGTCTTGATCTCCTGACCTCGTGATCCACCCGTCTCGGCCTCCCAAAGTGCTGGGATTACAGGCTTGAGCCACCGCGCCCGGCCCATTTGTTTTTAATATAGCTAACGATTTTCTAAATTTTTTTTTCTACCTTTATATTGACCTATTTGTCCTTCCTTTCCTTTTTCTCATTCCTTTCTTACCTTTTGTTGTAATTATATTTTCTTATCTCTTTTTACTTTTACTACTTTGTAAGTAGTTCTATAGTCCTTTTAATTCGAATGTCCATTTTGATTTCTTTTTTGGCTCTTCTGCTAGTTTGGAAGTCCTCCTTTATTTCCAACTTACAGAGTTTTTCCAGTTTTTTGTTTTGTTTTTGGAGGATCACAGAAGGTGATCTGCATACTAGCAATCCTCTGAAATTTGTTGAGGCAGCTAGGTTCTCTGGGAGGAAAGAAGGGTGCATAGGAACCTGGGTGTCACTGTGACAGACTGAAAAGGATCATGGTGGCCACCCTGTCTGTTACGCCCACCAGGCCCCTTCTTGCTTTATTCCAAGAATGTCTCCAGTTGATGTTGACAGAGCCCAGAGCATGCCCACCATGTGGGATGACTTACCCCAGGCAGATGAGGTGCAGGGTAACAAGAGTTTTTTCTCTTACTTATTAAGGTATCTACATAATATCCTACATTTTGCCTCTTAGCCTGCAAAGTCTAAAATATTTACTATGTATCCCTTTACTGAAAAGGTTTGCTGACCTCTGCATTAGAAGATTGCTAGATTCACATTGTTAATTTAACCAACATTAAAACTAAGATGTTTAGTAACTTGCTCAAAGTG